GTTTTTTATTTGGATTAATTCCCGTCGGTTTTGAGTATGTTGCTATTAAAGAAAAAAAGAGGTTAATTTTGTATACCTTGATTCTAAATTCTAACTTTTCAAACCCTTCTATCTTATGGTGGTTCATTCTCTCCGTAAACTATATTTCGCAAGAAGATTTTGATGATTAAATTGAGTCGTCAAATTTTCACAAGTAAATTCAGTAGAACTTGCACATGATATCGTATGAAGGAAATGTGCACAAAGTGTTTATGGCCCTGCATGTTAAACTTGAACGTAGCAAAGTAAAACACAATAGAGTCATTGCAATCGTCAAACTTTTGATGAGTACATTTTATTAATCATTAAAACTAAGTTAAACTAAAAAAATATTTTACAAGATGTGTTTTTAATCGTAAATTCTTATATTTTTAAACGTATAAAACTCATAAAAATTTAGGCCCCGTTTGATTGAGCTCATTTTCCATGAAAAATGGAAAAGCTTTTCCATTTTCACACATTTGTAGTGTTTGATATGCTTTATTTTCCCCAGAAATTGTTTTCCTCCCCCAGCAGCCACGAGCCTGTTTTCTTGGCAATTGAGGAATTGGTTTTCTTTAGGTTTTGGTGGGAATTCCGTTTTCCAGCATTTTTTTTTTGGCATTTGGAAAATATTCTAGACACAATGGTAAAAAAAAATTATCACTTTTATCGATAATTTTCATGTAAAACAAAGTCAAACAAATGGTATTCGGTATGCTTCTAAAATTTTTTTTTTGGCACTTGGAACAAATACTAGACCCAATGGTAAAAAAAATTACCATTTTAATGGACAATTTTTATAAAAAAAAAAGTCAAACGGACAACAAACTTTCAACATTTTCTAGGTGGAAAATTATACCGATCAATCACAATTAATTACAATTTTCTGTAAAACAATTTCTAGACAATTCGATTTCCTGAAATTCATTTTACTTCCACTAATTTTTCACATTTACAATCAAAAGAGACCCTTAATGAAAAATGAATCACCCCAATTTTATAATTTCTGAGAATTTATTGATTCTATCAAATTTTACTTCTTTTTGCCAAAAGAAAACAATGGAATAGTAGAAATAGAAAAGTAAGGAAAAATTACATGATTAATATTGATATAATTGGAAAAATCCTGGAATTGATCACAATTTGAATGATTTTAGCGAAAATAAATCAGAATAATCACCACTCTTTAATTAAAGACCCAAAAGCTGCTTGAAATTCACCACTCTTACGACGTCGTTTCTGTCTTTGAACGCCATTTTTGTCTATTCTCTCAAGCTCAGATTTCTACAGAATGGCGGCAGCAACATTCAGATACGTAGTGCAGCTACATAAGGATGTACC